AGCAGCCGATCCACCAGCTGAGAATTCGTCCGCTCCCGAGGCTGAGCAGGGCGGGGCTGAGTAAATGCCGGCTTACCATCTCTACCATCATCCGGGTAAGCAAGCCTGGAAGGCCACCATTTATGGCAGTCATGAATGGTGTCTGTTTCATTTTATTAATGCAAGAGTGGGGAAAAGTCAATTCTATCAGATGATGAAAGCCATGTTATTTACATTGTGTTCTGCCCTATTCTTAATTACCTAAATATTTCATTTTAGGAGTATTGAGTATCAGAATCATATTTGGCCACCCCTCAGCTAGCTCTCAATTCTGACACTGGAGACCTGTATTCTCATGAGTATTTTGAACTATTAGAGCTTTCTATCAACTTTTCTGAACTTTATGATTTAACCAGTAAGCTGAGAAAAGTTTTCCTAGCTGTATTCTGAGAAATGTTAATTAACATTGTTATTTATGCATTATTTAATAAAAGAAGTAGGATAGCTGTTAGAATGAACCTATATGGTGACAGACAGAGTCTGTTTGGGTAAAGTGGCAACATCGATAAAATCTTTTTTTTTTTTTTTTGAGACTGGAGTTTTGCTCTTGTCCAGGCGGGAATGCAATGGTGTGATCTCAGCTCACTGCCACCTCCGCCGCCCTGGTTCAAGTGATCCCTGGTTCAAGTGATTCTCCTGTCTTCAGCCGCCTGAGTAGCTGGAGTTACAGGCATGAGCCACCATGCCCAGCTAATTTTTTGTATTTTTACTAGAGATGGGGTTTCTCCATGTTGGTCAGGCTGGTCTTGAACTCCTGACCTCAGGTAATCCACCCATCTTGGCCTCCCAAAGTGCTGGGACTACAGGCATGAGCCACTGTAATCATCTGTAGTTATTTTTTGTTGGTTTATTCAAACTGTAGGTTAATAATAATAATTCTCTGGCAGACCGCATGATACATTTATGTTCTTGTTACCAGCTCACTTGTTTTTTTTTGTTAACCTTCCAAAATTAAGGGATTCATTTTCATTCAGCTTTTTGCATGATACTGAGAAGTGTATGATTGTTGTTCCCTCCAAAATTAGCATTCAGCCAGAGGTGACTTGCTAGGTGGCAAAGATCTGTTAATGTCTCCCAATATATAAGTAATGTAAACTAGAGCATGTACTACACTAAATGAAGATTACCGTGAATTCTACGTGATCATCTTTTTTTTTTTCTTTACAGTTTAGTCATCCAACAAGAAGAAATAAGAAATTCCAGCAATAAGAAATGAACAAAAGATTGGAGCTGAAGACCTTAAGTGCTTGCTTTTGCCCGTTGACCAGATAAATAGAACTATCTGCATTATCTATGCAGCATGGGGTTTTTATTATTTTTACCTAAAGATGTCTCTTTTTGGTAATAACAAACGTGTTTTTTAAAAAAGCCTGGTTTTTCTCAATACGCCTTTAAAGGTTTTTAAATTGTTTCATATCTGGTCAAGTTGAGATTTTTAAGAACTTCATTTTTAATTTGTAATAAAAGTTTACAACTTGATTTTTTCAAAAAAGTCAACAAACTGCAAGCACCTGTTAATAAAGGTCTTAAATAATTGTCTTTGTGTAAATTTCTGTCTAGTTTTGCTTTAGTTTATAAGTTCTTAGGTATTTATAGGACCCTTAGCTTAACCCAGTCTACAAATAGATGATGCTCACTGGTAATTCCCTCAAGTAAAATGTCTTTAAAATCTCTAATCCTTTTAAGTGGCATGCTTGTGGGTTCATACTAAAAATTACAAAATACATATTCTGATAACCTGGCTTTTTTTTTTTTTTTTTTTTTTATAGAGTTTTGCTCTTGTTACCCAGGCTGGAGTGCAATGGCTCACAATCTCGGCTCACCGCAACCTCTGCCTCCTGGGTTCAGGCAATTCTCCTGCCTTAGCCTCCTGAGTAGCTGGGACTACAGGCACATGCCACCATTCCCAGCTGATTTTTTGTATTTTTATTAGAGACGGGGTTTCACCGTGTTGACCAGGATGGTCTTGATCTCTTGACCTTGTGAGCCACCGCGCCCGGCTAGCCTGGCCATTTTTAAGGAAGACTTCGTGGTGTAGATTTTATGTTGGTTCCTTTGGCTGTGTGGCAGTGCTTACGAGGGCATGCTCTAGTCTAGACTGGCCAGATTCTAATCCTGCTCCACTTAGTTTTGTCGCCTAGGGAGAATTTATTTCAATATGCCAATTGAAGATGCCAACTTAAAGTGTTCGGAGAACCTGTCACAGGGTCTGGTGTGGTCACCAAATATTGGTTCAGCTCCTTATGTCCTAGAAATGGGAATAAATAATACGAAAACCCACGGGGAAGCTGCTTAAGAACATGGAGGTTGGTCTTGTAGTTAACATGGAACTTGTAGTTAGGTGGTTCTCAACACCTTACAGCCTAAGCCTAGACTGGCTGTTCTTTTCTAATGTTTTGTTAGATGTCTTTGGCTTGCTTTGTGAAATTATCAGTCATGTAGTTGAAAGTAACTGCTGTCCAGAAATACACTCTAGATCATCCTGGCCAGGTTTCAGGACCCAGGGGAAACAGCATGGGTAGGTAGTAGGCCAGAGTGCCACATCAGGAATCCTGCAGTGCTGTGGAAGTCATCTGTTTGGGACTAACTTTGCCAGAGGACTTGATAAGAGACTACCCCAATTTTTTTTTTTACCCTACTTGGTGTAAGTATTCGTGCTGCGGAAGTGAGTTTGTTAGTCCATTTCTTGCTGGTGTTTATGAAAATACCCAGTGTTCGTGAGTGCAGTGGACCGGAGATGGAAACTGTTGGTAGCATCTAAACCGTTAGGACTGCACATGAAGACAGTCCTGACTCAGTGGTTCAACTTAGGGGCTTTTAGGGGGGTCATGTTTTCTACTGAATAAACATTGTTTTCATGATACCACAGAGTTGAAAAATATCATAGAAATGGGAAGACCAACAACATTGGTTAAATATCCAAGTAATGTTAAAATGAGATTTTCAAAAACATCAAGGAGGAAAGTTTTTTGGGGGAATACAACCTTTTGTGTTAGCGTTGCAAGCAGAACTACGTGCACATTTTTAAATACTGTTGTGTTCTGTTGCCTAGGGCTTTGAGTACTTAAGGATTATTTGTAAGGACTGCAGCACGTGTACATCTCTAAAACTATCCAGAAAACTTGCAGCTAAGATCAAGATTTAGAATGTGTTTTGCCAATCAGATATACCAACATGAGACATGGAGACATTGCTAGGAAGCTGTGCAAACCCATCATGCTGGAGAGGGTAGTTGCTGTGCTTTGGTGATGCAATAGCAGCAATGGCTTCCTCCCATCTGCCTCTTAGATTTTCATATTCACTGAGCTTAGTTCCCCAGCCTTAGCAATCGTGAGATAACCTGTTTTATTTTTATTATTATTTTTTGGCTTCCTGAAGAGATGTGCCATTTGGAGCAGAGTGAGCATGGGAGAGCAGGAAGTGAGGAGCAAAACAAGTGTGTCATAGTTCCCGTTGAACATTGCACTAAAGGACCTAGGGCAATACAGTTTTTTAAAAAAAGGATTTGGAAGAAATAATTGTCATTATGCTTAGGTGATGCTGGCCACACAAAATCCAAAAGATCTTGCGGTCAAATTTGAGTGTTTATAATTAGCTGGTTGTGTTTCTGTATAGTAATGTCTAGAAAATATATACACATTCTTCATGGTACTATCAAGGAAATGTAGCTGGGAGTGAATCTGTGGGTCTTTATGGAAGAGAGTAGAACTATCAAAAGACAAGGGTTTTTTTTTTTCTTTTCCTATTTCATGGGTATTAAGGCTTGCTAGTTTATCCAGTGATTAAATGTATTTCAGTTCTAGAGTCTTAGGGTTATTTTGGTGTGCCTTGGGAAGCAAACAAAGGGGGCTCAAGGGATGTTAAAGATTTAAAAGAGAAAAAAATGTGAAATAGTCTTGAGAAATGGGAAAACAAATACAGTAGGGACATGCAGGATTGCCAGCAGGTGGGGAGTTGGATTTAACTAGGGCTTTGCTAGGTGAATTCAACAAAGGAGGGAAAGAGCAAAGGTATTGAGTATGTATACAAACCTATGTGGTATAGCCTATTGCGCCTAGGCTACAAACCTGTACAGCATGTAACTGCTGAATACAGGCAATTGTAACACAGTGGTAGGTATTTGTGTGTCTAAACATTGAAGGTAGCTCATGGCTGTAAACCCAGCATCTTGGGAGACCAACCTGGGCAAAATAGCAAGACCTCACCTTTATAACAGAGTTAAAAATAGCCAGATAACGGTGGCACTTGCCCATAGTCCCAACCACTGGAAGGCTAAGGAGGGTACCCAGGAGTTCAAGGCTGCAGAGCCGTGATTGCACTACTGTACTCCATCCAGCCTGGGCAACAAAGCAAGACTGTCTCAAAAAATGAAAATGAAAAATAATGAGAAAAGGTACAGCAAAAAGGCCATATAAATGATTTTTTAAAAGGGATACCTGTACTTAACATAAGTTGACCATGCAAGACTCTGGGTGAAAATTAAAACTTCTGGGTTCAGGGGTACATGTGCAGGTTTGTTATTTAGGTAAACTTGTGACTCCCATATCACTGTCTTTTACCAATACACTTGTCCCACTGAAAGGTCTTCAGGTGCATTAATATTGAATAGAACTGCCATCTCCGGTGATAATGATAACAGTGCCTCTGGAATACCTCCTGAGGGACCTGCCTGAGGCTCAGTTAACTAAAAGTTAACTAAAAAACATACTAGAGCCGGGCGCGGTGGCTCAAGCCTGTAATCCCAGCACTTTGGGAGGC